TAAAGTATGTAGGGTAAAACCTGATAATTATAAGGTTAATAAAGTTAAAAAAACTAGAGAAGAATCATTATGTTGTGTCCAAGGAAATCTTAATTCTTTAATACCTAAAGTTAAAATAAAGGTATTTTATAGAACGTGTATTGCTTTAATTGACACTGGTGCAAGTCATGTAATTGTTTTTAAAAATTTAGTTATAAATAAAATGAATAAAGCCAAAAAGGTTAAAGAATTAATTAATACCATTGTTTGAAATTTAAGAAGTATCGGCTCAATTGAAATTGTACTTATAATTGGAACTTTTACCACTTGTTGTGATAAATTAATTATTGAACAATCCCCATATGAATTAATTTTATGTTTGAATTTATTAAAAAATTACAAATTAAAAGCTTCAAATGATGGTATTTGGTTGGATAATTTTAAATTATCTGAAGGTGATACTAATCCTTTTAATGAAAAAAAACTTTAAGCCTATATGCTGAAGCAATTAAAACCAAAAATAAATTATTTAACTTGACTGATGAGTGTAAATTGAATAAGTTCAATAACAATTATCTTAGTTTATTAAAAACAAGGTATCGAAATGTCTTTGATTTTAGCCATAAACCAAGTAAAATAAAACTTAATCCGGTTGTTACACTTCATGAGAACTCAAAACATATTTTTAAAAATGTTTTTAAAAGAAATTCAAAAGAAGAAGAAAGAATATCATACGCTGTTCAAAAATTGTTAGATCAAGGAATTACTTAAGAAATTTCTTCACCATGGTCCACCTTGAGTTATTCAGTCCGATAGAGGACTTGAATTTCTTAATGATGCAGTAATAGAACTATGTTGTATACTTAGTATACGCAGATCTTAACTGCTAGTTACAGTCCTAAATGTAATGGATTGGTAAAATTATCTAATGGTTTGATCTGTATAAGGATGACTAAGATGGTTTGAAATAACCTTATTAATTGGAAACAGTATGTACCTTTGCCTACATATGCTTATAATAAAAACCCTTTGAAGAGACTTAAGTTTTCTCTTTTTGAAATTTTATTCAAAAAAAACACCTACATTAATTAATTCAGAAACGATGAGTAATCAAGTGAAAATTAAATTAAGATTTTATTGGTTGTAAAATGAAGAGAGATGAACACAAGAGTGAAGTGGATGTAGTTGTTTCTGATATCAGAAACAGAGAGTTGATTCATGAATACTAGGTCAAGGCTACCAACGATGTGTTTGGACTAAATGATTTAGTTATGGTCAAGATTCCAAAAGTGTATCAACAAAAGTTAATGGAAACTTGGATAGTTTTTTCAATGTTGTAAGGGTGTGTGGAAAAGGTGGTTATGAGGTTGCTGATTTAGAAGGAAAGACTCAAATTATAAATCAAAAAGATTTGGAAAGAGCAAAAGGAATTGATGTTAAAGATGAATAACTTTCTCACGAGGAGAAGGGTAGTTGGGTGAAGTTACTTTTGTTGGTAATTTATGCTTATGTCATTGTGATAATTTTGAAATATTAATTTCAGAAAATAATATAAAATAGAAATTGTTTAAATAAAGGATCTTATGAAAAAGAAAAAGTTTATTAAAACAGAAATTGGTGCCTTTTGGACAAGTCAACTCTGACAATTAATATTATTGATTCTTAGAAATAAAAATCGAGATAATTAAACCTTTTTTATA